CCACCCCACTGCCCCAGCCCTCACCGGTTCAACTGGAAGGCTGGAGCCCCCTTGGGCTGGGGCATCCCGGGCCGGGGTCCCCCTCGGGGCTCCTCATGGTCAGGGGTGGGGGCAGGCGAGTCCCCGAAGGCCCCCAGCACAGTGACTCCGGCCGGGGACAGGTCCGTCAGCGGCTGCTGGCTCTCCTCTTGCCTCAGGGCGCCCTGCTGCCCCGAGGGCCTGCGCCGCTTCTGGCTGCGGTCCCAGCTGGGGCCCGGGAGAGAGGTTCTCTCACACACTCCAGCACCCATCCAGGACCTGCACGGCGGGTGCCCCCTGCCTGCCCCGGGCACCTCTGACAGCCCACAGCGGAGGAACTGGCCCTCGCGGTCCCCTACAGAAAGTCTCTCGGGACCGTGCCCAGAAAGCGACTGACTTCCTTCACTCTCCGGGGATTCCAGAGTCTCAACCACCCTCTGCGTCCATCCAGATCCACAGTCAGTGCCCCCTCCCACCAACACACAGAGTCCTCCCACACCGCCCCCTCCGCCACGCACACCCCAAAGAACCATTCTCTCCTCAGAGGCACCTGGCAGGGTCACTAGTTCAGGGTCAGCCAATGACCTGGACACCCGAGTCTAAGGATGCTCCCCAAGAGGGCGAATGACTGAGTGATCTGTTATTGTGCGAAGACAGCGCCAGATTTCCTCCCTCCCACCAGGCAGCGCTAAGACGGCACCCTGCGGGCCGGGCTCCATGGCTCAGCCGGTCATGCCAGCACTTTGGGAGGCCGAGGCGAGTGGACGGCCTGAGTCCACGGGTTCCAGACCCGCCCAGGCAACTCGGCAAGACCTCTCTCCACAATAAAATACAAAAAGTAGCCAGGCGTGGCAGTGTGCGTCTGTAGTTCCAGCTACTCAGAAGGCTGAGGTAGAAGGATCGCCGCAGCCCAGGAGGTCAAGGCTGGGGTGGCCATGAGCGTGTGTGACACTGCACTCCAGCCTGGGCGAGGGAGTGAGACTCCGAATCAAAAAAAAAAAAAAAAGAAGAGGTTCTGCAGACAGGGTAAGCTTCTCGTCTTGGAGGCAGCGAGGACGAGGGATGCCCACTAAAGACCCCCGTGCACACAACAAAGCCCTCCTCCCTTCCCTGCCATGATCCTTGCATTTCCCTGGGAGAACTCTTCCCTGGTTTCCCACCGTCTTCCCACACCCAAATCCTTACTGCCCTTCCCAAGGTCTTAGAAATTCTGTTAAGGTCTAGGAAATGCGCCCACCATTTCCTGCCACCCCCATTCCCCCAATAAAACTGCTTCCCGCACGCCCTCCTGGCTTCCAGGCATCCGGCCTCTGCGTGCAGCGCCCTCTCCCCCAGCTTACCAGAACTTGAAGATGATGCCAGTGGCCACAAGAACGATGATGATGGAGATGGTGATTGTGACGTAGAGCTGCGGGTCCACACCTGCTTGGGGCGAGAGGAAGTCTTAGGGAGGCCCGAGGGTGTAGGAGCCAGGAAGTGTGGGGGCCGGGCCAGAGAAGTGCTGCCATGTGGACCCGAAAGCCCAACTCGCTCTGCTTCTCTGTCCCTGTGTCCTTACCACCAGCTGTCCCGAGGCTTCAGCTCTTTTCCTCCGTTTTCCCAAGGGTTCGTCATCAAATCCCACGTGTACATGTGATGAGGGCAAGCCCCCGAGATCACAAAGAACCTGTCTCTCTGCGTAGAAACCACAGGGTGGGCCAGGTATAGTAGCTCACGTCTGTAATCCCAGACTTTGGGAGGCCCAGGTGAGAGGATTGCTCGAGCCCAGGAGTTCGAGACCAGCCTGGGGAACATAGCAAGACCTTGCTCTTTGGAAAAAAAGTTAAAAATTACCCGGGCGTGATGCTGTGCCCCTGTAAGTCACAGCTACTTGGGAGGCTGAAGCAGTAAGACCGCCTGAGCCCAGGAGGTCAAGGCTGCAGTGAGCGGTGAGAACAGTGCCACTGCACTCCAGTGGGGGCAACAGAGTGAGACTCGGAAAAGAAAAGGGAAGAAAAAAACCAGAGTGGAGATATCCGCGTCTCTGCCCAGCCCCAACCCCTAAACCACAGGCCCGTCCCTCCTTCAGCACTCCCTGAGCCAAGGTGTCACCCGGGCAGACCCTCATCCATGATGCTCCTCCCCTGGCATACTCCCACGCTGGTTTCGAGGTCCAGCTCAAATGGCAGCTCTCTGAAGGTGTCCTGATCCCCAGGCAGGAGTCTCTCCCTCTCTTCCTAAAACATGCTGTACGAGCCTCTCTGAGAGCATCTATTACGGGCTCCTCCCCGAGGGTTTGCGCGTCTGTCTTCTCTCGCGGACCTGAACTCCTCGAGGGCTGGGACAGAGTCTCCATCTCCATCTCCACCTCGCGTCCCGTGCCAGCATGGTGCCAGCATGGTGCCAGCATGGTGCCTGACCCACGTGTTGAAGCAGCCACAGACAAGGCCTCTGCCTCCGCCCTCGGCACAGCCCTCCCGGGCACTCCCACTCACCTTCCCCGCGGCCCCCGAACAGGAACGGCCGCAGGGTGGCAGGTGCTTCTCCAAGAATGAGCCCGTCGCCATCGCCCCGCATGGAGTCTGAGTTGGGGTGCGGGGTGGCGAGCCCGCGGGGCGCTGCGAAGCCATAGTCCAGGAATCCCGGGTTGGCGGAGTTGGGGTCCCCGCCGTCCTCTCGCGACACGGTGGGGCCCCACACGATAGCCCAGGGGTACTGGGACGAGGGCGGCCCCTCCTCGAAGCCCGACGGGGTGGCGGGGGGCGCGGTGCCCGGCGG